GATTATTAATAAATGTATATTTTTTCGGGCGATCCATACATTTCTTTAATAATCGCTTAGATTATTATTTACACTGTCATTTTCATATTCATTACACATCTAAAACATATGTGTAATATCTTTAAACCAATGTAAACAGCCATTTGCTGCTGACAGTGATCAGTTATTATCATTAGAAAACAAGCCTTTATTCCTGACTGTACCTGATGGTTTGTTCGCAGGTTGTCAATCTGTTTCTTAAACAAAGCTGTCCAGAAGTCTTTGCACACAAACTTCATAATGTCCAACTCGTCCTTGAACCTTGGGGAGTCTTTGGTACATCTAGGGTATAGTCAACGATAGGGTATAGTCAACGATAGGGTATAGTCAATGATAGGGTATAGTCAACGATAGGGTATAGTCAACGATAGGGTATAGTCAACGATAGGGTATAGTCAACGATAGGGTATAGTCAACGATAGGGTATAGTCAATGATAGGGTATAGTCAACGATAGGGTATAGTCAACGATAGGGTAAGTTTGTTATGTAAAGAAATTTCAAAATGTTCCAAAAAAGGATGCCATGACAAAATGAAATCATTTTACATTGAAAAATRGCAATTTCAATTAAATCAATCCAAAAAATTACTTAATGAACTATACCTGGATCACACATCGATCCACAGTGAGTAAAATGCTTAATGTTCATTCATATTTTTTGGTAAAATAGGAGCAAAATTATATTTGTCGCATGACCTCAGTGTTTCATACCTTGTCAAAGACTAGTTTTTTGTCCTGCGTGGCACGGGATCATAAAGTACTATTACAGGTAACCCACATTTTACTAAGAGCGTGAGTAGATAAATAAAAGCGTCCGGATTCGTTCTTTTCTTTCTCTAAATCAATAGTTGGGTGGCCTGTGTCCGCAAGTGATATCGCTCTATTTTTCCAAACCTCCAGTTAATAGTCAAAGCTTAACTGAATATCGAATTATGTGACTACAACAAGGTTTTTCATCACCTTTTTTTGCATTACAGTACTTGCATGTGAAATTCTTGATTTTCTTTCATTTTGTCGGGATTATCACATATGATTGCAAGGATTTGGGCGATGTGACATCAATTTTAATCAAGTTTAACTTTTAAGCAACAGTAAGCTATAGATGATGATTTTAGATCTAAGTAGTAAGTATATGTTGATACTTTACCTCTCTACTAGTCTTTGACCAACGTTATAGCCCATTCGTTCAAGAGTTTGCATAGAATCGCTCTGTAGGCAGAGCAAGATTGATAAACTTTAAGTATATACTTACATTTCACTTTAGCTATATAAAAYGATGACTAAAATTCTCTTATGACTCACTTCAATATATTTCCCTTGCCTTTCGCGATGGATATAGTTCACAACTTCCATATGAAGGAAATCAAAAGCCGAATCCATAGCTTCGGCCATGTTTGATTTATGTTGGAGTAACTCCGCTGTGTTTAATAGACGCAGGCYCAAGTATTAATAAAAACATGGCTTCCGTCGCGAAGAAAGCGCGACACGAGTTCAGCGATGTCAGTCACAGAATCAAGCGAGAAACAGCAAAAAGAGTTAAACTTTTTGACTCCATTAGAGGAAAAGAACCTTSTATTCCGTTCTGGGATATCATTGTCATTAGTGCTTGTGATGAAAGCCAAAAAGAAGCTTACAATATTCAAATCGAAGCCAAACAGCAGCGCAAAGAACTACCCCTTGGGGTAGATTATCAAGTTTTTGCTGATCCCCCCGGACCCAAAATTGGTAATGGAGGATCGACTATTGTATGTATAAATCAGCTGATTAAGATATATGGAGAAGAGAAGCTGAGTCAGTGCAAAATAATGCTCGCCCATGCAGGGGGATACAGYACCCGAATGCCGAATGCAAGTGTACTTGGAAAAGTCTTTACAGCCTTACCATGGGGTAGGTAAAAMCCTGGTTGAAGTGGGACAGGGCGGGGAAACGATCCAGGAGAACGGGGTGACATTCTAGATAATGGAGGCAGGCAATTCCTCTTACATACACTATACATTTTATTATAGGGGTGAATCTAAAGAATCGTCCAATTTAAGGGGGTGTCCAAAACTAAGGCATTTTGAAAACATTGTTCACTTGATGGACTACCGTTTGAGATACGCTTGCAAATGTTCTCTTATAGATGACCATAGATGTAATGTTTGTTTKAACGCTCTAAATTCGTCCAATGCAAACACGACTCTAGAAGTTAAGTTGATTGTATTCAAGTGATTGTAGTTTTATATTGGAGGACATTGCTTGCAATTTTCATTTCAAGAGATTTTGAGGTGGACTGGTACGAGTTTTAGAATAACCTGAAAAAAGTATTTTGACAGTTGTCCTAATGAACAATTTTAATATTGAGCTGGAACTTTCACAGATTATTAGTCATAGACTGTAATTTTTAGTTTATTTTTTCTCACATTATACGCAAAAAAAATCAAAATTATGTGAGATTATGCACGATGATATCATAACTAATTTCCGTTATTTTGTTTCTGTAAAAAAAACATAAAAACATGACGCATTAATATTGATAAGTGACTCTTTCCAATAAAAGCAATAGCCAAAAAAAGAAAGAAAGCAACGTCCACCATTTTGGAAAACGCCAAATGCTGGCACCTGGGCCAAGCCACTGGAAACTCTTCACTGAATAGTTCTTTGCAAAAACAAAATGGCATCATGCTTATCGATGTCGTTGTTTTGTTAAAGTGCATATAAAGGAATTTTTTATGTTTCCTAAAGATAGCTTACCAATCATTATAATGATTTGAGGAAAAGAAATTCAAAAATTGAAATAGCGGTGTGTTTTTGAGGCGATTCAAGTTCAGAAATTGGCCTCCTGTGCTTTTTGTATCGGGAGAGTCCTAGAGAGACTGGAGACAATAAACATGTGACGTAGTTTCAGTCAGATCAGTCTCGAAATTTGCAGAGAAATACTAGTGAAATACTGTCATTCTGGTTTTAATCTGACATTAAAAAAAGAAATTAAATATTCAAATGAATTATGTCACCAAGTTCTCATTAGCAACGATGTTCGCCAAAAATACATCTGGCAGATGCTACGTCACGCTTATTGTAACCAGTCTCCTAGGACTCTCGCTATAGAAAACACAGGAAGCTATTTTCTGAAGTTTAATTGTCTCAAATACACCCCACTATTTTGATTTTTGAATTTCTTTTCTTCAAACCATATTTAATGATTGCTACACTTTTCTTAGAAAACAATCCTTTATATGCACTTTAAATTGAAATGATACTTTAGTACTTTGTATTACAGTAGAAAAATGACAAAAATAGGCAAACACAAACATAGGTAACATACATATTGACTTTTGTCACAAATTATGCAGGATTATGCAGAGAGTGGCCTAATTATGCAGGATTATGCAGAGAGTGGCCTAATTATGCAGGATTATGCAGAGAGTGGCCTAATTATGCGGGTCCACACCAGGGCACAATGTCAGAATCCCTGACTTCAGTATGCTGATTATCTTAATTGATATCAACTACATGGTTATTTTGTCAGGTCATCCACCATATCAAATGATAGAGATGCTAATGGCTACATTTATAGATGTTCCTGCTAACATGATTCCAGGGATTCTATTAGTTTGTCCAGACACTTTTGAATTATTCAATACTGATGATCAAGTATTGCAGTTTACAAAACCTGGTTTTACAGCTTTAGCTCATCCATCGCCCATTGAGATAGGTACCACGCATGGTGTTTTTGATGTTGTTAAAAGTGATGAAAATATGGTAAGATRGCTTTCATTATGATATGGTAATTGAACTGTGAGTGGATTGCAATTTGGTATGAAATYAAACATAAAATTTGTAGCCGTAAGTTTGATTTCAGATCAAAATTGCACAATTACATGAATTTCAATTTGGTAATACCATGACTTTATTATATTTGTGATTTTGAAATCAAAACAAAAACACTAAAGGTGTAATCAATGTGTATTAWTTATTCCTGTTAGTAGTTAGGATTCTCTCAATACAAAAGTTTAATTGTAATTGGAAACAGTCTACTATTTTTAAATAAAATATGCAAATCTTTTKCAGAATGATAATGTTGCTGTTTTCACAACATGTTCAAGATTTCTGCACAAACCATCCATTGAGAAAATGAGAGAAAGTGGTGTAGTTTTCAGTAAAGATGGCAAGGAACATGTGTACACTGACAGTGCCTTCTTTGTTGATTGGGAAACAGCCAGGAACCTTTATGA